CACCAGGTGTGCAGTGAGTATAGTGTACATGCTCCATGTGTGCAGTGTGTATAGTCTACATGGACCAAGTCTGGCTGCACCAGATATACAGTAGTCTGTCTACACCAGATGTACAGTGTGCTGTCTCTGTACAGTGGGATAACAGTGTGTACAGTCTGTGTTCACCAGACCTGCAGTGTGTAACTTGTGTAGAGATGTACATTCACCTTAGCACATTACACAACAGTTATTGAACTCCCCTAGGCATCATTTTACCTAATCCATCTGTGGTGTACTTCCATTCATTGGAATATCTGAGTCATCTTTTCTGTTTTTTTCCGTATCCTTTCCCTGTATTCTGTGCCGTCGACCTTTATCCCTGCTCTGTCTCATTACTGGCCAGTCATGAAACAGTCAGGGCTTTCATGCACTTGATGCAGAAACAGCATTCCCTGTCTGTGCCAGGGTGCGGGCAGAGAATGAAGCCCTGGGCAGTGTGTTGTCCACAGCAGCTACAAAGTAGTAAGCTCTCCATCTCCTTCAGCAACCCCCTTCTCTCTCTCTCTGTCTGTCCTGCCTCAGATGCTACCCCCCCTCCCCTCTCTCTCCTCGTTGGCAAAGGTGAGTGGGGGCTCTCAGATTTCTCCTCCTCAGAGCTCAGTGTTATTATTAGTGCGCGCTGGTCTTGAGATAGCCAGCCCCAGGCAGCAATTGCCCTGCTTCAGCACAATCTGGCCTGAGCACTTAACCCCTCACTGCCCCTCGCTGCCAGCTGGACGCCTGAAAAGTTCACCGAGGGCTGTACAGTAATCGAGCACGGACTCGAGACTCCCAAGCCAAACCCCCTTTCACGTGTGTTTCCAGTCCTACCAGTGGCAGCAGTTAAGATCCAGCAGGATTCTTGGGAAAAAAATACTGGAGAATATGGGGCTCAGTACCTTCAAGTATTTCTTTAATCCCAAGGCCCTAACATCCAGGACTCATTTTCCTGCAGAAACACAGAGGAGTGCCTGAGGGAGTCAAGCAGGACATGTGCAGGAATCGGGATTTCGATCTGTGTGTTTTGGGGGACAGGAGGCAATGACACATATTTGTATTATTATTATTATTATTATTATTATTATTATTATTATTATTATTATTATTATTCTGACTCGGCACATCGTCGAAGTAAAGTGGCAGCCATGAAAGCTCCAGCTCCTGGTGTTGGCTTATGCTTAAGAGCCTACGGCTGGTAAAACCTGGACTGGATCAGTTCGCTCCGCAGCAGGAGTCTTGCCAACAATGCTGTGTGTTTTAGTACACCAAGGTGCTCATTTTACTACTGTTACTCTCCAGAGCTCGTGGGCTCATTCTAAAACACGCACTCTGAGCAGAGCAGGGTCTTCCACTCAGCGCCAGTTTGGCAGGACAGGGTTTGAGGGTGAAGGAGACGGTTCTGTCCGCGGGGATGGAGTTTGAACCGAGAGATGCGTGTGCAGGCACAGGTGCCATCTCTTCTTCAACTATCCGGCTTTTTTGCTTTTCGTTCCCGGAACGGAACGAACATGCAGACTCGCCCTGTGTTTTTATTAGCAAGGCCCAGTGCTTCAGAGTCACGTGTCGGAGTCAGGTCTCTCTGTGTACCCGTCTTCCTGTGGAAGCCCACTGCAAGAGACGGAGAAGCACATGACTGATTGCAGTCTGCCGAAGAGGTTGCTTGGCCCTCCCGCATTGAGAGTTGCAGTCCGGTCATGGAGAGAATGGTACCGCCACCAGCTACCCAAGTATGAAGATCACCCCCCTGCAGGCGCGGGAGTTTCCATTACAGGAAGTGAAGGAGTTTCCATTACAGGAAGTGAAGGAAAAGAGCAGGCGTGGGGGTGGGCAGGGGCGAAATGGAGAGGGAGAGATACTGAACTTTCAGCTCCTGTTCCTCTGTCCGCTGCTGCCTTTCGCCCGCAGCCATCTTGAAGACGTAGAGTCTCGCGCGGACTTCCGTTTGTCCAAAACAAGCGCGGTGCGCAGCAATGGGGGGCTGCGCAGTTGCAGGCAACGTAACAGGAGCAAATACTATGCGAAAGAAAGAATTTGACCCTTGTACGTCTTCTGCATTGCTAGTTGTTTCGCTGTGAACTGAGTCAGACACTGCTGCCATGTGTGTAGAGGGTGCCGAGGCGGGACTGAGTGCTCTGGGCTTGGTGTTCTGTATTTGTTTTTCATCTTTCTGGCTAACTCGCCTTTCAGGGTTTTTTTTTTGTTTACTTCTTCTGCTCACACATACCCTTTTGTAGTTCGGGACAGGGGTCCCCGGGTGGGGTGTTAGGTTGTGAGTGTAGCTGGGTCCGATGCGGGCGAGCAGGAGGTTCCCAGACAGACCCAGATCAAGGAAAGACATTCGAAAACCGGGTGCTTCCAGTGCGCCGCCGTGCCTACAGAAGGCGGTCGAGGTCTTTGAAGAAGTCTCAGATGGGAGCTGAGCTGGTGTCGGTATGAGGTAGGCAGGCTCCCACCGGGATGGAGAGGAGAGGCCTGTGCCGGAGCGGTCCTACTGGCCGGTCATGTGACGGCCCCTCGCTCTCCAGAGATGGGGAGCCCTTCTGTGACGGAAGGGAACAAAGGAAGGGAACGAACCGTACATCTCTGGGGAGGGAGACCGACCCCCAGTACCAGACCCCCACCTGCCACACGCATGCCGATAAGGTGAGCCGGGGGTCCAGGAATCGTCCCCGTAGAGGGGCACCCCAAAATGGACTGGCATCCAGTCCCAGGGTGTATTCCAACCCCCAACCCTTCCAAGAATTAAATAATTCCCTGCTGGGAATAATTGGCTTTCTGATAGTGGGCGGATGCTCCGGCTGCATCCAACGAAAGGACCTTTTCCGAGCCTTGAAGCATCAAGGCTGAAAGAAGACTTGGGCACAGCAGGAGCCCTGACACTGACGTATAGGAGATCCTTCTTCAGACTGAGGGCAGTGGGGCCGCAGAAACTTCCACTCAGGTTCCGAGTGCAGCAGAGAGGAGAATCCCTCAGCTGGCCCGCCTGTACAGGAAAGTGGTTCAAAGGCTCCTCCCTGTGGTGACTGGGGGAACAGCGCCACTGGCGGCAAGGTCTTGATTTCGACTGCTGTTTTTCTCCCTATTGAATTTCTCTTTCTCAGCACAGAGGGAGGACTGAAAGACACGGGGAGAGAGCGCACTCGGAGCCCTCAGCCAGCTGTTTTGGAAAACTGATGTGTTCGTTTAAAGAAAATGTGGCTTCGCCTGAGAAAACGAAACTTGTCAACTCATAGAAATTGAGTTCACCTAAATATTACAAGTACGAGATAATGAGCACAAAATGAGTTGAATCAAGAGTTGTTGTTTTTTTAGAAGTTCTTGACAGATACGCTAAGAAAAATGATGTAGTGAAGTCTGGTATCCAAGCCCCTGAGCCCACTTACATGCAGAGGAATAAAAGTTTCATTTAAAGATAAATTGCAACCTGGTGTTTAAGCATAACGTTACAACCATAAAGTTTTCTTATGTGTTGTTTTAACACACAGCATTCTGTCTTTAAACAACAACACAAAAAAAACGCTTTTTAGATTTACTGTCTGGGCACTCCTGTTTGACCTCATGTTTTCTGCAGTGCGCTTGCTGCAGGAGAGCTGAGCGAAAACAGTCTTAAACAGTAGTTTTGAACTGATAAGAGTTTTCCCAGTGCGGTGCGCGGCAGTGACACTGGGCTGCCGTGATGCGGTGGTTTGCCCCGGGCCTGTGTTCCTGCGTGTGCGTGGGGGGGGGGACGGGGTACAGACGGGGCAGAACGTGCTCGGCAGTGCCCATGGCAGATGCACTCTTAAATCAGGGAACAGGTGCACCGGGCCGGGCCCGGCTGGGTTACCGGCGGGAAACGCGAAACCAGTCAGCCGGGCTGGGGGGCGGCTGGGGGGGGGAGGGGGGGGGGGTGTGCGCGTGTGTGTGGAGGAGTCCGAGCATGCGGGACTCGCGCGGGCTTGCGGTTCCTCTGTAGCGCCCCGAGCTGCCCTCGAGCTGTCGCGACCGGCCGTGTGGGTCTCCGCTCGCCGCCGGCTGGACTGACGATGTCCCAGCTCCGGCTCCTCGAGCCCCGC